CGTGCATCAAACCGGCACCGAAGGGAATTTTATTGATTGCGTTCGCAAACAATTCGAGTGACTCTCAATTAGTTCGAAAATTCAATTATAAATTGTAAAATAAGTGAAATTACAGTTGAAATCTAATTGCATTTAGATAAGTCAGTTGCGCATTGAAAGCGAAACTGAAAATGAATTCAATCTATTCAATCGTACAATTCCCCCCAAACGCCCCATCATTACACACAATTGTCTAATGGCCTGCTCCGCAAATATGCTTAGGTCCAAAATTGTACAGTCTTCATATGATTTATGCCAATCGATGGGTTAAGTTGACAAAGTATCAATAGCCCTTAATCGCATTATATGGCTTTGCCAAACAAACGATTGGGCTTGAATCTGCCCATAGTTAGGTTTCATAGATATCAAATACTAACATATTGCTGGGGTGAGTCAAATGCATTTTGTTGAATTGGAATTTAAATATGCAAATAGTTGAGATGCCAGCTGGTCGACACTTGATTAATTAACAAACGATTGTAAAAAGGGGTTCGTTATTCAGCACAATTATATGAGAATTTCAATATTAATTGAACTTTGCCAAGTTAAAGAGAAGGGAAGGAAGGGAAGGCGCACAGGTATGCTTCTTTTTCTTAAGCTTCCGTTTTGGCCTAAAACATAATTTTAAATCGTACTGCCACAATAGACAAGCAATTGTTTGCCTTTTAATAATTATAAACTTTATTATGATTGTATCGATATGGCAATAGGCGATATTTTTAGCGATATAAAAAAGAGAATCGATTTACAAGTTATAATGAGAAAAGACTGCGGACTTAACAATGTATTTTCATATTCTCAAATTTACAAGTCCCACAAATGTCTCAAACTTTTTCAGCTTTTTAATCAGAGGACAAAAATATCTCGTTGAAAGTTATTGTTTATTTTCTTTACCAACTGCAAGTATTTGCATAATATTTGGAAACTAATTCTTGGGCATAAATTGCCCATTTAATAATTCACTCGACTAAATACTAAAAGTGCATTTTTTGATTCAAATCCCTTCAACGTATTAACTCTTTTTGGGAAACATTGAATATATTATTGAGCAATTTCTGACTTATATTTTAAATCCTTTTTTGATGCGCTTTATCAACATTTTCACTTAATCGTTACGAGCAGTTTTCAGCTTTATTTTCCTGCCTCTTGTGAATTTATTGTCGGCTTCTACGATTCAGTTCAGTGAAAGAGTATTTCAACACATGGAATTACATTTGTACAGATATGCATTCATAATGGCATGACCAATACGCATTTGCAGCGTGCGTTATGAACACTTCATTAATATAACACACACACACACACACACACACACACACACACACACACACACACACACACATACACACACACACTCTCACACGCACACGCACAGGTTTATAAATAGGGCTGTGGAATAAATAATATAAGAGAAATTTTCGTAAAAGCCAAAATGCAATTTTAAGTCTGTACAATTTCATTTATGCAGCTTGATGGCCAATTGCGCAGCACACACTAACGTATTCACACACACACATACGCACACACACACGCACACTCACAGCACACAGACACCCTCGGGTCACTTTAATATGTGGCCCCTAAAAGTATGCTCTGAAAATTTCGCTCAGGTGATGGCGACTTCAACCAAGTTTAAATACCGAGTTACACAAGATTTAAAGCGAAAATTTTAATGGAATATATAGAAATATATACATGCAAGCACCATTATCTTTGCGGTCACCTCGCAAAGCCAATAAATGATCTATTATAATTAAATGTTATGAAAACATATCTTGAAACTCCCAGAACTTGACGGCACATATATTCGTTAGAAGCGCTGAAAATTGTTGAAAAAATCGAGTAACTTAATTATTAAAGAAATTTCATTATTTTTTTTAAATAAATAAAGATGTCGATACAAGCGTTTAGTTTCAGTTAAAGATTTGTGAACATGGTTCGCCGGGAGGATAGAGTAAAATAGCTGCGAATAGATATAAATACGTTAAAGATATGAAAACCTAAATGTGATTAGATATAGATATAAAAATAGATATATACATATATACATAAATATGTATACTGATGGATACACGGGCAGCCCTAAAAAAAATCAATTGAGTATTCAAAATAATACGAAAATTTTCACCATCGCGCTAAAATAACCTAATTTTGCATAGCAGAATACCCAAACACACACACACACACACTCGTAGATATGGCAACATCTATGTGTGCGTGTGTGTGTGTGGGTCTGCTGTTTACCTGTTTTCTGTGCTCTGTTTGTTTTAGCCAAGGGAAATTTATTGATACTCAACGAAATAAAAGCATAAAATGGGAAATGACAATAAAAAAGCAAGCAGTCGGAACGATAGTTTATGGCAAGCCGAACATTTGATACCCTTGAAGCAGTGCTTTTTGCTAAGGAAATGAATTTTTCGAGCGATTGAACAATGTACAACCCAGATGAACTTTGGATTGCTTAAAAAAAAAATAAAATAAACAAAATGATTCCTTCAAGAATTATGCGACCAATTGTTCTGATGGGTATGATCCAGCCGACGCCCATATATGTTACTGGACCTTTGATATTTGAAACGTTCGAAGATGCTGTAACAAAATTAGACTACTCTCAGTAAGGGTAACAAAGAGAAAGCAACATCTAGAAATATTCTCAGCGAAAAACTGCGTCAATATTTGGGCGTGCGAAAGGCGGCCGTGCACAAGGATCAAAGGTGGGCGGGCAAATACGTGTTTTGGAGGCGGGCGATGGTGGGATGGGGGGCGGTGGCTAAGGCATTTTTGGGAGGAGGGGTGCTGATCGCAATTGTGTGCGTTAAAGCATTTGTCAAAAAAACGCTGGCAATTTAACAATTTCACCTCAGCTCGCATGCCGCGCCACCGTCAACTTTTTATAGTTCTTGATTTTATTTACTATTTGTTCATGTGCTTAGCGTGGGGCGCGGGGCGTGGACTACGGGGGGGGGGGTTAGATTTTTGGGGCAGGTTTGGCTTCTGGCTGTGGGTGAATCGAAAGCGCGTAAAGCGTAAACTGTAAATTGTGTGTTGGATCCATTGTTGTTCCTGTTGTTGTAGCTCCAGAAATTGGCTTCATGTTTATTGGCATTCAAGCAGGTGACTCGCTAGCTCCCTTGCTCTCTCCTTTTCTCTTTCTCTCTCTCTCTCCCCTCGCTTTCCGACACTTCTTGGCTTCCACTCGCGTGTCGATTGCGACAACTTCGTTATGCTGTTTTATTTTGTCGTTGCGCCATCACAAAAAAAAAATTTTATTTCGCCTCGCACTCATAGCTCCACTCTTCCCCTCTCTCTCTCTCTCTCTTTCTCTCTCTCTCTCTCTCTCTCTCTCTCCCGCGCTGTCTGTCTCCCACAGCCTCACTGGGCGTGTGTATTTGCTCACGTAATTCCCTAATTAAATACTTAAATTGTAATTGCTTTCGAACATTTCATGACACCGTCGCTGAACAGGAGCCAAAAGCAAAACCGGTTGCCGCCTTCTGTCTCTGACGTTATGTGGTTCTCCTCTGCTCTGCACCAGCTCCAGTTCCGGCGCTGGCTCAGCTTGGTTCTGGGCGTCATTAAAACGCGCACAGGTAGCGCGCCAGGTAATACAAACAGGCACACACACACACACACACACAAAGAGCGACAGACACTTACAGACATGCACTGAAGGAACATATGCTATATGGCTTGTTGTACATAAGATATATACGTAGTTACATCTTAATGATGCAGTAGACACACACTCACATAGCCAGAGTTTGTGTCTGGCATAACGTTTCACGTTTCTGCTGAAAAAGTGTAAAAAAAAAATATGTAAGAACTGTCACGTTGAGCGCAACGCATACTAAATACCCTTTCTTGATACAGCCCACAAAAATGTACTACATTATCGAACGCTATTTATGCTATGGCAACTATATGAGTTAGTGGTCCGAAGAGTTTGTTCAAAACCTATTCAGAATTACTTTTTGCAAATAAGTCAATTACAATGTTCAGATCTGCCCCAATCCCACATATATGCTGATTGACAAGCAAACTGAGACAGACCACTTAGTCAGCTTAACAGTTGCATAGATAGTGCATGGCTATAACAACAGACGCATATTGGGCAAGAATGTGCATGCCTTGTGGATGCGTTCATATCGTCTTCAGTATGCAAGCTTGACAAATTGAATGAATTTGAAGCAACAAAGTTCTAATATATTTGCATACATAATAAGGTATCTGATATATATTATATGTACCTATATATTACGGTACGGCTTTTAGACAAATGGCTTAGGGTTTTTCAGTAAAGCGACAAAAATTGTGATGCTTGGAATTGCTGAGTTGGGTTAAGATATCGATTATTATCGAAATATATCGATTCCTGAAAATACATCTTTTATTTAAATATATTGAAAGCGAACGTAAAGTTTCACTTGAAGAAATATAGAATATATCGATAGCAAAAATCGATAGTTAGGCACATAACTGAAACTGTTTACACGCTCACCTGGGAGCGGCGCTCACTCTATCTCCTTCTCCCTTTCCCTCATTCCCTCCTCCGCTTTATTTTTTTTCCCTTTTTGTGTCTGCCATCCGTTGCACGTTAAGCTATATAAGTCATCACTTTAATTTAATTGTGCACGGCTAAGCTGGCCGCACTTACGAGCCGAGACACGCCCCACCGCAACACGCCCCTCAACGCACACACACACAGAGACAGACACAACACTCATACTCACATCCATTGCTCGTGGCTTTGTATTGTGTATATATATAAATGCTGACCATGTTTTGGCCGTGTTCCGGCCACGTTTTTATGTGCTTTTAAGTGTGCAATTAAAGGTCAATTGCAGTTGAAGCTGGCGCAGAAGTGCGCTATAAGCTCGCACATACACACACCTGCTTTTATTTGACATTAAAATCGTATTTCCTTTGTAGCAGCAGGCGTCTTATGTTTAATTCAAATCTTTCATAAAATTTTGGTATATAGGAAAGACAACATCAGCTTTCAAAATCAATCAAAATTAAGCGTAAAAACACACACAGACACACACCGACACACACACACATACACATGCATACACACGCAGACACAGACACGCAGGCACGCATGCAAACATACAGACAAGCTGGATAGGTAAACGTCTCAAAATGCAGTCATACGCCAACATTAGCAAAGTGATCAAAGTGGACCAATCGACCCAGACAAATGCGTCGAAGAGGCACCACCCGACCGCGATTGTCAGTACCAATGCCAGTAATGAAAACGATAACGATGGCAACAAGAGCAACAACAGCAACAACAGCGAAGCCTTCTCCGCCAACAATGCGCCCAATGTTAACGTACCGCCAGCGCCGGTAGATGTTACGCATTTGATCGCATTCAAGGCCGGCCGCATGAACGTCGGCGAGAAGATGGTGGAGCCCGATCAGCGTCGTGGCCTGCTCTATCTGCATCGCGATGCAGAGCAGCATTTGCACTTTTGCTGGAAGGATCGAAAATCGGATACAGTCGAGGTGGACATTATGAGCGAGCCGGGTTATTTGGAATTTCGACGCGTCGAACCCTGTAAAACGGGTCGGGTCTATGTGCTGAAATTTCGCCGTTCAATCAAGCGCTTGTTCTTCTGGATGCAGGATCCGCGGATCGATCTCGATGATGCCGTCTGTGCGAGTGTCAATGAGCTGCTCGAGTCGAATCTCCAGATGAATGAACACCCGCCAGATAAATCCAAAAATTACCTCAAATAGTCTATAGCAGTAAGCGAAATCAGCTAAATCCGTTAAAAGATTGAACAACAACACTAAAAATGGACAAAAACAATTATTGCAGATCGATTACATTGAAGCGTACAACAATTTTCAATTGATAGTTCGACTTTACAATATATACAATATATCTTACATAAGCAATTGGCTTAAACTCATTGAAATTCGTCAACACTAAATAGTTATCAATGCTCTTTTTTGCGAAAAGAATTCAAAACTTTTTTGCCTTGAGAAAACTTTTGAGCTGGAATCATCAATTGTTGGGAAAAAATGTTCAGTAATATTCCTGTTGTCCTTAAGACTATGAAAAACTAACAGCGAATGTATGTATATATATATATGTATGTAAAAGGGAAAAAAGAAATGCAATAACTGCTTGATAGCTCGCCCATTTTGCCCAGCCCGTTGGCTGCACCACGAGTCCGCAAAACTCACAAGAAGTTACGAAGATAAATGAGATGGCATAAGTTAGACGACAAGTCGAGCACAGGACGTGCAAAGCAGCAACCGACTAAAAAATAAAACACTTAAAATTGATATAAAAGACACCAAATGGCAGCATAAAAAATTAAGTAAAATGGCAATACCTGACTGGACGATACCCTGTATGTGACATGAAAAGAAGTACATTCACATTTCTTTTATCTACTTTTCATACTCGCCTACGCAATAGACTAATCAAACACTACGAAATTCTTAAGCTTATTGTTCCGAAATTTGTGCATTAAAGGGATAATACATTAAGACAAGCACACGTCTCCGATTTAGCAGAGAAAAAGAATCGCAAGAAATTCCAGCAATAAATTTAACAATATACGATTTTCGCTTCTGCGATTTATGGCCTGTTGGCAGGAAATATTCGTGGCTTTAAACATAATTTATCAGCTTAATATACAAGGAGCTCGGGTACCAAATTTCTCAGCTCGAAGCTCAACAGTTGCCGAGGTCAGAGCGTGTGGCTTATGGGACACATTTTGTCTGTCATGAGATGGGCTATAGGGTATGAGCATATAAAAAGGAAATTTCGCACAAAAATTGTAAAATAGTTGCAAAGTGCAAGTAAGCCAAAGGGTTGGGCATCAAAAAGGGGTTAAGTGCGAAGAGGTATGGCATGGCCTAGGCATGCGACAGCAGCAAATTTTCCGATTCTTATTTTTATTTTTATTTACTTTTTGCCTGCATCATTTGCGCGCGCTTTTTGCGCTTTGCTTTCAATTGGTTTTTATTTTTTTGTTTTTTTCGCGCAGGTTTTTTATTGTTTTACTTTATGCCAAAATGAAACTGAGTTTTGGGTGGGGCGAAAAAATGTGATCAGAGAAGAAAAAGAAGCAGCTGGAAAATGCGAAAGCGCGTCACAAAAACAAACAAAATGGTCGTGCATGCCAAAAAGTAGACTACGAAAAAGTGTGTTGCACAATGAAAAGACACGAAGTGCAGCGCGTGCTGCTATTGTTGTTGTCGTAGGCATACACACAAAATCACACATATACACAATAGCACACACACACACCAGCATACCCACGCATGTGTGTGTGTGTGTGTGTGCCACTCCCTTAGGGCGTTTCCGCTGTCATTTACAACTTTGGCAAATTCAAACGCATTATTAGTTGTAATTTACTTGATTGGGACTATGTGCGTTTGTATGTGTACGTGTACGAGTGTGTCCGTGTATATGTGTGTGCGTGTGTGTGTGCCTCCGCGTGTGTGTGACTAAGCCTTGGGCAGCTTTGGAAAGTTGCCGCTGCCAAATGGCAATAACTTCATGCCCAGCATGTCTGCAGAGATTTTGTGCGATGGCCGCAATAAGCGCTCGTTGTCGGCCAAAAGCCAATGTCAGCAGCCGTGCAATTTTTAGCCCATTGGGCGTGGCATTCGGTCAGTCAGTCGGTTTCGTCAGCCAATTGGCAAACAGCTGCTGCCAATGAGTTGCGGCATTTCCAATAGTTCAAAACTTTCGGCAATTGCTTGCTGTGGCCTAATTGAAATTCGCAAACCAAACAATTTTCTTTCCTTTTTTACCCAACAAATTGAACCAGTTATCGGTGAGCTTAAACTAGTTTCGTCTTCTTGAGAACTGGCCCGTGGTTTCATTGGTTTTCGACGAGCCAAATTGGCCGCATGGCAGGCAATCTGCATTTTCCATAGTTCTTTTTTCGGCTAGCGAAAACTTATTCATCATGTTCTTTCTTTAAATTATGAAAAAAAATACATTTTCTTGGTGATTTTTTGGTGATCATTTGCTTTTGAAGCTAAAAAAAAATATATATTTTGAATACTGATTTATTTTCATATAGCGACTTTGTAACAATGAGCTAGTTCATTTTTCTAGTTCTTCTGATTACTGTTGCCCATTCACAGCTCCAAAAATTTCTTATTTATGTTACAAGAAATACTTTTGGAATAATGAACTACCTCAACTGGGTAGTTCATCTTATTCGCATCTTTAAAATTGTTAAATGCATCGCAAATTGTGTTTGATGCTACAAAAATTTACCTTGCAGTAATAAACTAGTTCACATTGCCAGTACTTTCGATTCCTGTTGCTTTGTCGTATATTTTCTTATAATGCACTAGTTCAGCTTGCTAGTTCTTTCGATTGTTGCCGCAGCTCCCATTCACTTCGTTTTTTTTTTTCTATTTCTATTTATTTTGTCGTGTTTTGCGCTTAGCTCTTTGCTATAATTTATCCCAAGTGCCAAAAAGAGAAAGCTTGAAAACTTTCTTGATTAGCTGCTTAACAACACTTGCATTTCAAGTAGCTTTTCGCGCGCTCTTACTCTAATATAGGAACACGGCGACTTCCTCTTCGCAATTCTTTCACTCCATCTCTCTCTCTCCCTCTCTCTCTCTCTCTCTGCCTCTCTCGCTCTCTCTACTGCATGCATATTATTGCTGTGCCCATCATTCATTCAACGGGTGGGGTTTGGTTTTTTTTTAGTTGGGGCAAGCCCCAAGCAATTTGCTAAGCTGCCGCAATGGCTAATATAATGTGGCTGAAATGAAACGCCAAGCAACAACAGCAATTCGAGCACACATTCGGCTTAATACTCTCGGTACATACCAGAAATATAGCAGAAGAAGTGCCATTAAAATTACTTAAAACCAGCCAACAATAAAAGGGGCTTGCAAGCAGCTTAAATATGCTGCTTATTGATGCTGAATACAGCAGCAGGAGCTGCAACAACATCAGCAACAGCAGCAATGTGTGTGCCTGAGTGTGTGCTCGAGTGTGTGTGGAAAGGCAGCTATGTTGACACGGCTCCTTAGCACGCCACTCACACACCCGCACCATTGCCCTTCTCCTGCCCGCATCCATTGGTTTATGCTGCCTCAGATGTTGCTGCCGTGCTGCTGTTGCTGCTGTTGCTGCTGCTGTTATGCGTGTTGCATACTAATTTCAAAAATTTGCCATTACATTTGTAGTTCTCACTGTTTCCTGTTCGTCGGGCACGCCCCCATTTAGACGCCGCCTCTTCTGGCATTACTTGCAATTGGTACAAATGAAGTTTGGCTCTGTTTTCAGCTTGATTATCAGCAACAGCAGCAGCAACAGCAACACAAGCCCAACAAATTGTTGGCATTTTTTTGTAGTCAAAGGTGAGGCAAAAGTGGGTTAGCTACATATAACACACACACACACATGCACAGACATACACACGCACACAGAGACATGTTGCTAGTTGTTGTTTGATGTTGCACTTCGAGCTCAAAGCAAAATTGCCATACGCAGGCAATGCAAATAAAAGTTTTTGGCCAAAAGGCTTGCCCCAACATAACTCTACGCTTCTCTTCTCCACTCGCGCCCCTCCGCTCCTGCTGCATGTTCGCCCAGCAACAAACGCCCTTGGGTTAATTGCCAAGTATTTGAGTTTGCAATATAACTACAAAGTCAAACAAAAAGACAAGAACAAAAAAAAAAGAAAAAAAGTTGAGTAGAAATTACGAAATTGTATTTTATTTAGACGAAAACAATATCTTACCGAGAGCATGTGATAAAACCTTAATTACGAGCTGCTAAATTGCATGATAAGAATGCTAGGTCTTAATTGTGGGCAACACTTTAATTTAAAACAATTGCCAGTTTTTGGTTTCCATGGAGCTATAACTAAGCAAACTAAATGGATTCGATTAGGAACAACTTTGTCTCTATTTATCAATTAGTGTGCATAAACTTAAACTGCACTTAAAAGCAGTTGCCAAAAGTTGTTCTTATATAGCATAAATGACAGATTCTCAGAAAATATTGTATTCTAAGAAAGCAAGAAGGTGGAATGTGGTAACGGAGACAATAGAGAAGACATAAGAAGACATGGAACGAGCTGGAGAGCCACATAAAAAAGTAGTTAAGCATAAAGAAAAAAACAGTTGGATAAAAGGAGAACAAGCCATTGACATTAAATTAGACAAAGATGGAGTTGGACGCAAAGAATCTATGCGCACATTTAGACATGTGCTAGTATATTTTAGTGTGCATGCGAGCGAACTGACAGGATAACATTTACGGAAATGACACAAAGAAGAACATAAAAATTCAATTGCTTACAAGTGGATAATCGCGAGAAACTGATGGGCATTAAGACGCGTTAGCTTCAGTCACGTAGTTGGCCATAGACAAAAGTGTGCGCTGAGGGGGGAAGGGAGAAGGCAGATAAGTGCAATACATGACGGTGCCTTATAATACGTTTATTACAAAAGTCAAGAGGTCTTTAAAATGTATTTAAGCTGTGCTCAAGGGACCTTTCACAGCTTAAGGCAGGCAAACCTTTAAATTTGTCATTCTCAAACAGACACATACACACAGATACATACATACGCAGAGGCACACTCAAGGCTAAGCGCATGTCATAATTGTCAATGTCAAGTACGCTTTGGGTGTACTCAGGAGCTTAGTCCAGGCCAAAGGACGACAGCTGACCACAGCTGAGCAGAGCAACAAAGCCAATATATGTTATATATATATATATATAATATATAAATATATATGTATGTCTATATTTCTTTGTACACACGGATATTTAATCTAGTTTCCGGCAAGCGGAAGTGCGCCATCTTTTGAGTCAAAGAGCGCAAAATAATTTTGATTTGTTAGCCAATGGACTTGACATTGTCGCATAAAGGAAACGCCACAAGCCATAAGCATGTCCTATTAGAGTAAGGCGAGACCAAGAGAGAGAGAGAAAGAGAGAGAGGGGAAGACGGAGAGCTGAAGCATTGGATTTGGACAAAAATTTCGAGCAAATACGCCAGACACATGTATGGGCAGATCTGTCAGTGCAGGCGCCGCAAAGTATGCAATTGCTGCTACAACAGTTTGCCAAAAAGTCCAACCGACTGGCTGGCGTTCCGTTGCCAAGCTCAGTCCTCTCCACCCACACTCTACCACCCAGCTGGCCGTCACCATAAAACGTATCCGCATCCGTATCCTGGCCTAGTTCACATTTAAGCATTGCGCCGGGCAATAATTCAGGCGTCCGGGCGCAAAGTCGCATAAAAATCAAATAAAAGTGCCAAAAAAAAAAGAGAAAAACTAAAAAATTTCTCTACGAAAATGTACAATAATAAAATCTCTATCTCTCTCTCTCTCTCTGTCTCTTATGTTTCGAATGCGCAGATAAGAAGCCAAAGTTAACCCAGTTGCTGCTTTTTTGGTGCAATGAATAAATTTTCGGTTTTGTTTTTGCGTCGCATTTTTCAGTTTTCAGTTTTCTGCCGGCACTCGCCAGCTATGAAAATTTATCCGCGCGCACACACACACACTCACACACACTCATAGATGCAATGCTAACTTCGCAACAACAATAAAACATATCGAATTG